AGAAACCGTATGTATCAAATACGATACATTTGGCATTATAGGGTTAAATGCTGGAACATATCTATCAACGGTTTGGCCTCCTTAGGAGAGAAAATATTTACTGTTATAAGTAATAAATGTTCCTGATGAATTTCCTGCAGGACAGCGGAACTGCTTTGAGCATTGAATTAAAATGTTTCCCTCCCTGTTGTACCCTAGCATCACTCTGCACCTAAAGATCTCCTGCCCTCCTTCACCCACCCACTCCCAGTCGAGCCTGGCCTCCGGGGAAAACCTGCCTCAGAGGCCACCGCACCAGCCCGTCCCCAAGGTCAGCATCCAGGTGGATTCAGACTGCGACCGTGAGGAGTCCTGCTTCTTCTCAACGCAGCAGCAGATCAGCCTGTTCGCCCCTCCCAACCTGCCGCCACCTCTAACACCGAGGACCTGCTCCAGGAAACAGCACGCCCACTTCAGAGACTCCTGTGCAGAAACTATACTATAAACCTGCAGACATTTACTTTCAACAAATCCTCACTCTCTTTGTGTAAACTTACGGTCACTTTATAACATGTGCCACATATAATACAACAAAACAATTTCTGCCTTCATCAGGACTTTTTGTCCACATGAATGCTTTAAACCTGTTGCTTCTAAGGTGAACTAAAAACATGTTTTAAATGCATTAAACCTTCCCCAGGACCGCTGACTGTTTTATGAGTGGTAGTGACTGTAAAAGGTGAAATACACTAAATTTAATGTACTTATTTATGTAACAAACTGTAAAGCACATCCCATAAATTGTAATTAAATATTATTAAAATCTGTTTTGATGAAATTGATCACATCGGACTTGGCAATTGTAATTTTTTCCTCTAAGGTTATGAAAATATGAAGTGAATTTGTTCTATTTTTGTTGGAAGCAAAGAAAATGCTTCGTAAATGGAAATATGAGAAAAAAAGAAAGTAAATGGAAATTAGTAATGAATAAAATTCAAAGATTTTTGTCAAAAAGTTGAACGTAACTTTGCTATCCATATTGTTAGTATTTTTAGTAATTTTTTAAAATAACAGACCTCGTATCTTCATATTTTACATTTTTTATTTCATTTTTATAGGTTTCGTTTAAATTCATGTGTTATTTTTCAATTGAGTTCAACAGATTGCATTCTTTTCAAATTGCTTTATAGAGGTCACATTTTTTTTATTGAATGCCCAATAAAAACGCTTACTTTTGGCCAATATAAAGGCTAATGCCCTAATACAGACCAATAGAAAAGAAATATCACAAAAATAACATTTTAAATATAAAATCTAATCAAAAGGGGGAATAATAATATATTACAAAAATATATACAAACTTCAAAAGTTTGGGGTCATCCAAACAATTTTGTGTTTTCCTGAGAAGTCACACTTATTCACCACCATATGTTGTGAAATGAATAGAAAATAGAGTCAAGACATTGATAAGGTTAGAAATAATGATTTGTATTTGAAATAAGATTTTTTTTTTACATCAAACTGCTTTCGTCAAAGAATCCTCCATTTGCAGCAATCCCAGCATTGCAGACCGTTGGCGTTCTAGCTGTTAATTTGTTGAGGTAATCT